CCCCCCCCCCCCCATTGATTAATTGATTGAAATTTATTGATTGTTGATTGATTGACGTATGTTTAGGCTGTTAAGTATGGGATTCTTCCGAAAGTACAACTGTATGATAGTCACTGCTACATTGATTGATTGATTGATGTTTAGGCTGCTAAGTAATGGGTTCCTCTTGATTCCCGAAAGTACAACTGGATGGTAGTCCCTCCTCCATTGATTGATTGAAATTGATTGATTGATTGATTGATTGATGTTTAGGCTGCTAAGTATGGGGTTCCTCTTGAGTCCCGAAAGTATAACTGGATGGTAGTTCCTCCTCCTCCTGAAAACTCAGCGTCTCTTGTTACGCCTAAAGAGAGATTAGACCAGCTTTCCAACCATTGATAATCTATTCATCTTTAGCTTTTAAATTTTATTCCTTTGACCTTTTATTCTTAAAGGACCTGTAGACGGAATTTCAAGTCACCGTCCATTTATATAGTGGCAATTTTCAAATGGTGCCCTTGAAAGCTTTGTCTGATCAATCATCTTCTCTCTGAGAATTGATTATTGATTTTTGTTTTAGTAACAATGGTGGAAACTGTTTGAATTCAACACTTTTTATCTGAAAAATTACTAAATTCAACAATTTTGATCAGACATAGGTTGAAATGGTAGCGATTGGATCAATCATAGTAGTCCTTTTAATTGCTCCACAGGTCAACACTTTATTCGTTTCTTTTGTCGTTTGAATAATTACATAAAATAATTCGTTTGATATCCCGTGTTCGGAACCCATAGAAGGAATAAATTCAAGGGTCAAAGCCCATGATTCTAAATTTTGAAAGTTGTAACAGATAATATCGAGATCAAGCACTGTAGTTAAGCGCTATTTCAACCATAAGTTTTGTCCACCGGTTTACTTCTTGGTGAGCTAATAATCAAGAACTCCTTAGACCCTGTGACGTCTACCTACCCTGTGTCCAAATTTAATGAATTTAAGCCGCGTCTCAAATCCCCCAAAAACCGGTTTCAATTGAGCGCCAGCTTAAATCTTGAAAAATTGATTACAATTTTAAGTGGAACCAACCAGATTTGAGCCGCAGCTCAATCACATTGAATCACATTTCGCTTGATATAATGTTTATAAAACTTGAAACCTAGAGATGAAACTTATCAGTCGTCTTTTCTCTCCACACAAGTCCGGTGATCGCTTTAAATATAAAATCTAGATTTTAAATTATTTCTCTTAATTCCTTTTGACATTATTGACCTACGATTCATCCATCAGCGAGATGTAAAGTAACTTAACCTTCCCTTGGGACTATTGAGTAAAATAACATCGGTTAAAAACTTTGCGCATTTCTATCTCAAAAGACGTTAAAATTGTGTACAACTATTGTCGGGAAATTCAACAATTTTTCCCAACTATTGGTTAAGTAAAATTCACGTAACTCCCTAGTAAAGTACAGTGACGACCAGATAACTCTGGAATAGGAAGGCGACTTTTAGCTATGGTTTAAATAGTGAAATGAACAGGAGATACAGCAATTGTGTAGTGTAAACAGACCCATTTAACCTGATCAGTGATTTAATAAGTTACTGGTAAAATTATTTGCATGGGAGAAACATATAAAATTATTTGCATGGGAGAAACATATAATGCACTTGGGTAGTGCTATATTGTCGTCTTTCTATTCGACAGTTTCCTGGTTATCACTGTATTTTACATAATTCAAATTCAAATGAAATGAAAAAATGAAATAAAAGTGTCCCTTTACTATTAAATGTCTAGGAACTAACAATGCAAATGCCGAGCACGATGTTTTTAATGCTGTCATTAAATGTCGTCTTTTTTGTTTAGACAAATCTTAAAGTTTTCTGATTTTGCTAGTTCTAAAGTTGTACTTGGTCCAGTAAACGTTTATTTTACCTTATAAATGTAATGGTTTTTATAAGTCCCCCTCCCTCCCTCCCTCTAGTTTTTAAAACGATAAAAAAAATTAATTTTTCTGTTGTACATAGTTAGACATTTATTTTCAATTAATTGTGAATATTCTGGAAAAGAAAAATCGCCAATTTTAATAGTGTTTTTCATGAAGGATTCCTGGTCTTGACTTCATTTAAAATTCTTCATAACGGGTTCTTCAATAGATGCCAATTTTTTATTATTAATATTATTATCATCATCCTAATCATTGTTAACTATGTTAGTTGGAGTATTACTGTAATAAAATAGTTGTTTTAAGCTTAATTTGTACACATTGTGTTTTTTTTAACTGTCTTATTTAACTTTTATGAATTTAATTTAAACTCCGAGCATACTATTTTATTTTAAATTTAGTAACTAAACCACATTTATGGTCGCCTTGTAAGATCAATTTCATTAGTTCTGTGAAATAAAGACGGTGTTATTATATCACTATACTTATTATGTATAACATATATTAATAAATGTTGATCACTTTTTAATGGATTGTAGTTTTGTAGAAGAATTTTACAAGATTTATAATAAGCAAGGAACATAAGATATAGATCGGCCAATAATCATGGTAAGCAGGGGCGTAAATAAGGATTCTGTAGGGGGGGGGGGGGGGGTAAAATTTTTGAATTCGGCGTGCGAATTTCATTCGTTCATTCATTTTACATTCTACAAAGAACTGTAAAAAAAACTGAATTTATTTCAAGTAAGATAAAAAATAATAGTTTTACTCTAAGCGGAAAAAGATGTTACTTTTTTAAATCTTTAGAAAAGCTACTCTGCAAAACTTTGAAAAAATATTAAAACTACTCTGCAAAACTTTGAAAAATGTCGTCAATGTAGTATGTTAAGATCTTAAATAAATTTAATATAGAAATGACATTATTTAGAAGTAAAAAATGTATTTTTCATTGCTCATACCCTTTTCTTCTATTATAAAAAACATCTAATTGTAATGACAATGACCATTACTTTAGAAGTTAGGATCATTTAGAATATTTTGACTTAAAATCTGAAATATCTGAAGTCAGTGGCGTACGAGGGGGGGGGGGGCGCGCCTCCCGCCCCCTCTACACGAGGCCCCCCCTGAGAGGCTGAGGGGGACACCCATGGGGGAGGGTCTTTTAACATTACATCTGCTTGCAGTTCCCTTCCTGCAGGCCAGGTAAAGTGGCGTACCTAAGGGGGGGCAGTAGTCCTCTTGCCCCCCTGGGAGTTCCAGGGGGAGGCCCTGCTCCTCTGGAAAATACAAAATTAAAAGAAAACTACGTTAAAAAGTAACACCTGACAATGACAAAGACTAAGGATTTGTCTAAATTCACTGTTAATACAAGGAGAGAAAAGTTTTAGCCTTCTAAAGAGAATACTTCATTACACAAGATGTACTTAGCCTTACACCCTACAAGATTGTCTGAGCTCTCTAGTAAGAAAATCATTGAAATGTTTGTGCAAGCAAATCCAAGAAAATAGAAGCTTAAAAGAGATGGTGAATATGTAGATTCAGTAAATTCTATCTAAAAATTTCAGAAGAAATTTTGTTTATTAGTGAAAATATAATTTTTAATGATGCTGTGATTATTGATTTAGTTAGCTTAGCTGTGAGTTAAATGATAAATTTATAAAGTTAAAAAGTTAGTTTTTCAAGCATAAGGAAAATTTTTAGACTCTTTAAGGTTAGTAACACCCAAAAATGTAGTCTTTTACTTTTAAATTGTACCATTATAATTGTGTAGATTAAAAATATTATTATTTACATTCCGCGTAATATTAAGGTTGTAAGCTTTCACGCAAAATCTATGAGATTTTTGCCAATTACTTCTTTAAACTTAAAGAGATAAAAAAGTGCTTTGTGAATCTGAAATGATCTAAATAAAGTTAAATGATAAAATGAGGCAAAATCCTTAAGGTCTAGACGTTGCGACACAACTAAGTAGACCCGGTATAGAAAATTGTTCAACTTTTCATAGCAGTTTGTCTGGATTTATCTGAATCTTACATATTTAAGTGAGAGAAAACATAACTAAAAGCGGCCAGAGACCGAATTTAAAGAATTTGAGCCGCGGCTTAAATCCGCCAAAACCCGGTTTAAATTAAGCGCCGGCTTGAATCTTAAAAGATTTGATACAATTTTAAGTGGAACCATCCATATTTAAGCCGCGGCTTAAATTTAAGCTGCGGCTCAAATTCTTTAAATTCGGCCTCAGGCTTCCATTTATATTTAGAACAGTTTCGATCTGATTCACAACGGTACCTTCCAATTAAGATGAGGGGGGCTGTTCCCCCAATATCTCCTTGGTCCTCCCCCTGTTTACGCCTATGACACATAAGATTCAACAAATACAGGTTCAGGCAGGTAAACAGGTAGGCAGCAGGCATAACACTAAAATCAAGCACTCTAGGCAGTTTACAAATATGTAACTAGGTATGAGCTAGGAACCAGGGGGATATCTATCTATCTCTTATCTTCTATAACCACTTCCTTCACTTTTAGTTCAAAATTTAACCATTAGGTGTCTCTTAATCTAAATTCGATACCATTTTAAACAAATTAGATTTACAAAAAAGTATTTCAGATCTTTTTGTAATACATATTTTAATTCTTGAGATATTAAGTAAAGTAATAAAAAATCTAATGTTAATCGAGACGAAGCCAGTTCATTCTTAGTAACACGTAACTTTTACAAATTTGTTTGAAATGTATAATAATCACTGTGGTAGAGGCTACGCTTGGCTTGCGAGAGGTATTAGTCGATTTTACAGTGGTTATATGTCGAAAAGCCAAAACCATCTAACTAACGGTGAAAACAGTGTTTTGTGACATAAGCATTGATTTTAACAGAAGCTCAGAGGCCATATTTGTTATCAAAGTAAACAAATTCTTAATTTAATCAAAAGAGAATAAACTGAAAATTTTGTAAATATATTTTTATAGAACTTAAAGAAATGACAAGCAAAGATCAGGCATACTTCTTTTTATGGGATATGGTATTGGTATTCATTTCACGAAATTGTCTGCTATTGAAAATTTGTATCCATTCTTTTATATTGTAATTTTTCTTTTTGAAATTCTTTACTTTGCCCCCTCCCCCCCCCCCCCCCCCCCCCCCCAGGATCTCCTGGGGGGGGGGGGCAAAGTTTGAACTGTAAATTTAAAGTATAAGATACTTTAAATGTACACATACAGTCCAACTCCAATAACCTTGTAATTGCTTACTTACTTAAGTACTACTTTTTTCTCCTTCAAACAAAACTCTGTGAACTTGAAAGGGAAAACTAGGTTACAGCATTGCAATGATATGTATTTGTTTTGTGGTGGGGGGGATTCCCCTCAAACTTATAAACAGCAAACTATTTTTGTCCTATTCTTCAGTCTTTATCTTTTTTGTGCAACTCTCCTCTGAGGTAATTTTTCAATATTTTTCGAAAAATTTTTAGTTTTTTGAAACTCCAATTGCCCCCAAAAAATCCGCGAACCTTTTTTTTTCTCACAAAATCAAAAGTTCAGAAAAGCAAAAATGTGTATATAAATTATTTCCATCGAAATCTAAAATTTTATAAAGATTTAATCACAGAAGAAAATTTGCAATTTTCAGTCCTGTTCTAATTTTTAAAAAAAGTTTTTCAATACTTCTTCAGGTTTAAACTGAACAGCGTATATTTTTAACTTTTGAATATACTAAGAAGAAAGGAACTAGAGAATTCAAATAACTTTTCCTTATGACATTCGTCCTGAACCGAAACTTGCGAATTTTCATATTACAATTTTGCCAATTTTCTGTGATTCTGTGAATCAATCTTTATAAAATTTTAGATTTCGATAGAAATAATTTATAAACATAGTTTTGTTTTTCTAAACTTTTGATTTTGAGGGGGAAAAAGATTTGCGGATATTATTTTGGACCATTAGAATACAAAAAAAATAAAATTTCAAAAAATATTGAAAAAAAAACCGTACAGAAGAATTGCACAATAAAGGTCCACTTTTGCTCCAGGCGCCGCTTATCTTAAACTCAAGAGTGAAGAACATAAAAAAATTGTTTGCTGTTCATTCAGCACTAAGAAGATTGTATTTGTGGACCAGAGTCACCATGACAGAAGTCCGAATGAAAAATCTATTGAGAATGCACATTCATTCTAATGTTTGGCTTGGCTTGAGTTTAGAGGTGGTAAAAGACCATTTTTTGGGATTTAATTTACTTTATTCATTTAATTTACTTTAATTTACTGTTTTGTTATTACAAACTAGCTGAAGTGCCAGGCTTTGTCCGTGGAATTTTAAAAATCTAATTAAAACAAAAAATTTTTAATTTAATTTCTATAGCTTATGTCATCCCCGAGGGTTTCCATGAGTTTCCTTACTAAAATTCAGCCCATTTGATTCAGCCGTTTGGCCAGCCAAAGCAAACATATAAATGAACGAAGAGCTTTATGACATAGATTATAATTTGTGTATTGTAAAGATTGACATAGCTTCAAATTTCCGACATGATATGCTTTAGACAAGGAGGGAGGAGGGGGGGGGGGGGGTTAAACAATACACACTACACAGATTTAAAGGCTAGGGCAGGGCAGGCCTAGTCAAGTGGGTTCAGAATTTATCCGATAGATGTCTATATATGTCTTTATATATTAATTTTTCTACATTATGGTATTGAAAAAAACGGATTCGGTACTTTTTTAATGACAAGTTTTTTTCTTTTCAAGTTTGTTCCACCTAATTTGAAGCAGAGTAAATTCAAAATTTCAATATTTTGTGCAATCGTTAGTTAGCCATTCTCGTCAACATTCGGGACATGTCTTTGTTACAGTGATTTACATCACATTACTATAAAATTATTAGTGTTAGGAATTTTCTAATATCATCTGAAACTATTATTTAATTCATAAGAAATATCTGGCAAAAGTGTGAAAATACTGTTAGACTTATCATAAAACAGAGTGAATAAAAACTAAGATTATACCAATATCAAATTCACATAAGATTGCTTGAAATGTCGTCTATATATTTTACAGTTTGATGGATCTTATATATAAACATCAATACAAGAATTAATTTAGATAATTACTATTTTGATATTTTGCATACTAAGACTTTAAATTTATTCAACTAGACTAGCTTTTTATTTAATGATTTTGTGCTTATAAAGGGTAGATATAATGTATAACATATATCATGTCTGCATAGAATATAGATACTTTATATTATTCAAATGATATTTTCATGTTTGAATTAGATTTCAAGATACAGCAATATATTCTTGAATTTTTAAACTTGAGCAAAAATTTAGCATACATTGTGCAGCTGTAGCATGCTTTAAAATTAAAAGTAATTAAGACTCACTACAATAAAAAACAGGCAATCATATCTCTACATCCTGCATGAAGTAAAACTAGCTTTAAACATTCGGAATTCTATTTATAATTCTGAAGCAAATGTAGATAGAAGAAACTTAAATAGAAAAAAGAGCGTCTTTTTTGTTCTTCACCATTTAAAAAATGAACTAAGAAGTATGTTTTAAAAGAACTAGAAACCTTTTCAATAAAACGAGTGATTAAATATTTTTAACATAAAAGAAATGATGCATCACCTTTCGGATACATTATGAAGCGCAAAAAATTTGAATTGTACTTATAGATAATTAAAATTTCTTATCTTTCTGCAGTCTGTTATGTGTGTGTGGACTGAATGAACTGCAGCCGTAATTTCAAGCTACCCTCCATGTAGCAATGGAACATCTTAGTCTACATTACAAAATAATACTTCAAATCAAGCTTCTAATGGCAGTTCCCCTATAATTTTCACTGGTAGAAATTTTATATATATATATATATATATATATTTATATATACAAAGCACGAGATAATACAAATAAAAAAAATCACAATTTACTATGTAGTTTGGACCCGCCTAACCAGAGTAGGTTGTTTTGATTGGTTGGGCCACTATAAACGAATGAGAATTGCAGATAAAAACAATGCACAATATTTCTAAGTTATATTTTACTGTGAACTAATGAACAAGACAGAAGGTGAAGGTAAAATCAATTTTGACCACGGAGCTGAACTACTTTTGATTTTTTGCACAATTGTTAGAAAAATAAATTTTTCCTGTTAAATTCAAAACATTTTTATATATCTTAACAGCTCTTAAATAAAAGGAGTTATAATTTATGCGTGTAAATTGAGCATGATAATACGAACTATTGATATACTTATAAGTGATAAAGATCCACTTTAAAAAAGAACTGGTTAAAGTATCTCTGCATCCTTAGCTATAAAAATCTTTCTCCCAAAAATGTTAAAATCTAAATTCCCTTCTACCACAATTATAGATAGAAGAAACTAGATTAGGAAAATATTATCTTATCCGCCTTTCACCAAATTAAAACTAAATTGAATATATTACAAAATAACCAGAAACCTTTTTGATAAAATAAGTGATAAAATATGATTGACATAAAAAAATGATGCACCACCTATCGGATACATTATAAACCTCAAAAGCATAGAATTATACTTATCGAATACTCTTTCTTATCTTTCCTGCACAGTCTGTTATAATATTATAGTCTTATCTATAAACTAATATATTTACATTCTGACGTATTAAAGGACTGCAGGTGTAATTTCAAGTGCCCCACCATATTTAGAATGGCATGTAAGATTCACAACAAAGCACTAAATCTTTGTCCGATTATGAAGGAAATATCATATTTTTACTAGCTTAAAAATTGCTTTTGATTGTGTTTTTCTTTCTAAAAAAATGGTTATTGGATTTTAGCATCAAAGTAAAAGAAAGAAATTGTCAGATAAATAACCGACGATATCTCCCTCATTGTTAATCATGGGTGAATGTTGTAAATTGTACATCCAACTTATCACATGGAGGATCCCTTAAACATACTTCTCAGTCCCTTTAGACAACAACAAAAATCTTAATGAGGAAGTGTTCATAATGTAAAATTAAGAACAAAGTTGGTCCGGTCTTACTAGTTGGTGAATAAACATACACAAAAATGAGACTTCAATGATGACCAATAACTCTTCAAATATAACAATACTGGGCGCTTCGTGCCCATCTTCCATTTAAATTGTTAGTCACTTTTTGCGAGGGGGGGGAATTCAATTTCCCCCCTTCCCCCCTCCCTGCAAAATACCATAAGCTGCCCCTGGAATAATCCTTGATGGTATTTTCCACTGGGTTCTTTCTTTGATAGTGTCTGTAGGTTCCTGCATGACTGTAGCTTACACTTGTTCTGTTTTAGTTTAAAATCTCACCGCTAGAGTTCTCTGTACTCAGATCATAAATGTTAACTTTTCTTTACAAATCTGATTAATATTCTCCCATTAGGTGACTCTTAAACATTTCGTTGAACTGTATATTTTTAAATGAAAAATACAAAATTTTCCGTTTAATCTAATAAAATTCTGGTTTGGGGATAATTTATCTCTCGATAAACCTATTATTTATCTCTGTTCAAATTACTGATAAAGTGGAGTTTTTAAAGTGGAAAATCGAAACTTGGATGATTTCGAAAGTTTTTTGCACGGTTGTCTAACAAACGGCCGAACAGTTGATATGGATCTCATCAACTCCAAAAGAATAATGAAATTTTAAAACATTTGTATTCGATTTCTGTTACTAAAATGACTATTTAAGATACGAAAATGATTACATTTAAATGCTGATATGCCAATAAAATATATAATAAAGCTAGGAAAAAAGTTGATTATAAATCTGGAATTCTTTGTTTATTATATGTAAACATTAAACATAAGCTAAAAAAAGATATTTTTGTCACAATAGTTAATAGGTTTCACAATTTATTTGGTAGATGTCTCTTCAACTCTTTTTACATATACAATATACATATATATTTATATACGTATATATTTTACTTTCACTAGTTTTATTTTAAAAGGTTTTGGGTTTTTTTTAATGTCTGCTTTAATCATTCTTGCAGTGACGTAAGAAAAAAACATACTATAGGACAGAGTTAATACAAAAGGTTTAAGTATCGTTAGTTTAGTTTAATAAGTCCGGATCTCACTTAACACGTGGCTATCACAGTAATTAACGGCAGTGAATAATTAACTTATCTCGAATTATTACTTACACTTCATTAAACAATTTGGTCGTCAATGGATTTTCTGTGTAAGTGCTAATGTTGATTTGTAAGATTAGTGTACATACTGTTGTTGACCATAAACCTATCTTCTAACCTCCACCTTCACGTAATGTTTTCTCAACAGCCCAAACCAAACAATTTCTCCGACTCTACCTCTCTATCAAAGGAAAATCGAAACAGTGAAACATTTTACTAAGTGAAAGATCAAATCTATAACTAACTTTGCAATCCATAGTAAGTTCCACTTAAAAAGACCAGGTTTATATTTTTAGAAGTGTTTACAAATGTTTGAAATATCCCATTAACCCCTCCAATCCAATCCTTAATCACTACTTTTCACAAAGACACGGAAAACTATAAGTAAGATATATTATTAAAAATTCAATTATATTCATACATTGCCATTTATATTTACTATACCTGCATTTTATTGCAGGTTTGAAATATATTTATTTACTGATTATTGGAGATTACTGTGTCCGAGTTGAGGAGCCCGATCCACCAACCAACTTAACAAATTATTGTCGATTCCCACCTACGATACCACAATAAGTATCAGGGAAAAGTATGAAGAACTGTTTGATTTTTAATAATATTACATTACTAGCTTGGGAAATTAGTGTTGTTCAGGTTATTTGTAGTTACTCCCGCCGTTTACCCGCACTTGGTCGATTTACCGGGAAACTAGATTTTCAAAATAATAGTCGACCCACTCAACTTAGAATCTCAAAACTAAGCGAAGTACATTCGTGTGGCTGTCCTGAGTTTCTCAATCAAAATTTAGGGCAAATTCGGTCCAGGGCCAGGGGTTTCTGAGTTATGATCGGAAAAACTAACAAACAGACAAGCAAAGATTATAACTTTATATTTATAGATGTAAATCTTGAATATTTAGCAGACCGTCGCAATTGTAATATATTTCGAGAAATAATAAATATATTGTATTTCCCCCCCTGGGTAACGAAGGATAGAATGTATAGCCCTCTGGACAAGAAAAGTCATTACAGCTAAAATTGCTGTACGTTAGACGATGTAATTCCACTAAACGTACTGAACCGAAACATAAACATAAACATAATACGTCATATTTCAAATATACAAAACAATTTCAATATTTATGACATAATTAATAACATATAAAGCATTTTTTGATAATCATTAATGCAATAATAATAATCATATATGTAATGATAAAAATTAGTACCAATATGGAGGTCAAAGGACGGACTCTATCGAAACTAGGTTAGAAGTATTCCAATATATATTTCTTTATAACCAGCAACTTTTTATATACTTAAAAACTGATCACACGAGTATAAGGATAATCCCGCGTTCTTCTTCTGTTGTGGAACTCTGTTTTGGAGGCCGCAAAACATCGTCTTCCACACTACCCCCCCCCAGCGTAGAGGCCGGAGGTCAAGCGTAGAGAATCCGGAAGGGTTTCACCAAATTATAACTGGAGACAGGTTAAAAATGACTGATTTCCTTCTTCTTGGCGGAGACATGGAGGAAGCGGAATCAATAGGTTTTCGAGGTCGTCCACGAGGTCGAGGAGCTGGAGGAGCTTGTCTAACTGCACAAGGGGGACGACCACGTCGAGGAGGCAATTCTGGAGTATCTTCTTCAGCTGTGACTGCAGGTTTAAGTCTTTGAATCGAAACTGTCTCTGCTCTATTACCCACCTGGAGACGGAAGGTTCTCCGGGAACGAGATAATACTTTGTAGGGTCCAGCGTAGAGAGGAGCTAACGGAGGAACGTGACCATCCTTTCTAACAAAAACCATCGNTATTGTTATTATTATTTTAGGTTTCCATCCGTCTGGATCTCATTTCCCTGTAGCGCCCCCTCTACCTCCTCATGTTAAGAGACTTCTAGATCATTTGAAGAAAGTAAATAGTTAAAATAAATGAATATATTTTCTCATCTTTATTTTCTTTAAACAATCAAGATAGTTTTATTGCTAATAATCGATGTCTAATTTTATTTAACGAAATTAAGTATCTAAGTATTTAATTTTGGCACTCAATTTAGGGTTTGAATGAATGCTTTGAATGATAGAGGAGTAGGTATTTCAAACATAAATATATTTAAGTTTAAAATATTTGCAAAAACTTTTACTTTTTATTTTACAACATATGCTTTGCGCAGTAATAATGTACTTTGGTCATTATATGGATAAGAAGAATGTGAGTTGGGGGGAGGGGGAGGGGGTTATTATATGGTTAAGAAGAATGTGAAATGGACGGGGGGGGGGGGTTAGGTTAGATGGTGTTAGTTTGTGAAAAGTGTTGAACGAGAATGATTCAGATAAATATTATTGCTTTAACATATTTCCTTAGTTTTTTCAATTCTCAAGGTGAGTAAAAAAAAAACATTTTTCCTTGGCATCCACTGCATAACTAGATTAAGAAGTTGAATTCTTGAGACATGGCTTGAACAACCAGTTTTTATTTGACATGATTCAAATCTTTGACAATCACAAATGTATTATATGGTTACTTATTAGAAATTCAAAACATATCTTTGTTCGTTTCAATAGCTCTACAAAAAGAGAAGTTATTCATTTTAAACACAATTTTAGTCTTTAGTGCATCTCTTTTAATTTAGACAACACGAGCTCATACATTACAATCATTTAATTGCCATATCTTTATATTTATATTAAGGACCTTTTGTCTAAATTAAAAAAACAGGTTTAAAAGGAACTGTGTATGCGTAACTTTCAGTGACCCTTTTTGTAGAGTTGTGTGTTCACAACAATACCCTTTAAAGGGACTGTACGTGAAATTTCAAGTGACCATCCATGCATAGATGACAATGCTCGATTCACAATGATACCCTTGAAACCTTTATCTGATCAGTGCTCAGTGTTCAGTGGAGGATAATGTCGTTTTTCTTGTTTTAAAATTGTTTGATTCTGATAATTCCTATATGTTTTCCTGCAGTAAAATGCGCAAGTCACGAAATTGTAGAGAAACCACAATAGAAAATAATTCGTTAAAAATCAAAAGCAGCAAAACTTTGCAACTTTTATTTATTTTATACTAATTTAATTTTAAAGGGTATCATTTTAAATATTTTAATGCTAAATAAATAGGTTTGGAACTCACTGAGCCTAATTTTCAAGATGATCAAAAGCAATTATTAGCAGAGGTAACAATTCTTCTATCTATATATAAATTTGAGTGTCCACAAAAAATTTCAGCCCGATCGGTCCAGCCGTTTTGCCGGCTATAGGATCAATGATACTTCAATTGAAGGGTTTGGAGATACATCGGACTGGTCTGTACCTGAAAATTTGGCTTCGGTTTCGGCCAAATCCAAAACTCAGGATGCTACCAAATTTAAAATTCAGGATTCAACCAAATCCAAAACTACCAAATCTGAAGCTCAAGATCCAATCAAATTTAAAATTCGAGATTCGTCCGAATCCGAAAATCGGGATTTATCCAAACATAAAACTCGAGGGTCGTCCACACCTGATACTAGGGATTCTACTAAGCACAAATCTCAAGATTCCACCAAATTTGAAGTTCAAGATTCACCGGTATCCAAAACTCGGGGTTTACCAAAACCTGAGACTGGACATTTACCAGTGTCAAAAACTGGTGAATTAGCTGTGTCAGAAACAGGTGAAATATCAGGGTCAGAAACTCAAGATTCACCAGTGTCAGAAACTGAAGATGTACCGGTGTCCGAAACTGGTGAATTAGCAGTGTCAGAAACTCGAGATTTATATGAATATCCTCACCAGCTTCTATTAAAGGTAAACATTCAATAGCAATTATATAAAAATAGACATGTTATTTTAAATTCAAGTAAACCTTCATGTCTGATTTGCAATGGTAACCTTTTAACCAGTGCCTAGATCCATTTTATTAACATGAATATTTCTTTAAGGTTTGCATGTTTAACAAAAACAAAGGAATCGAGTCATTGCCACAAACTTTGTTTTTCTAAACCCAATATCTGAGAAATGCACTGCCCTAAACCTTGAATATTTCAAACTATGAATGCTGTTAGATCAATTAATTTAATTTTGAATTATCAAAGTGTTACATCATCAGGTTGCAAAGAAAAAGAAGTTTGAACATTTGAGTTTCCGGCTAAGACTAAATTCCTTTCTGTTTCATATTTTTTTGTTTTCAAAGCAAAATAGACGTCTTTTCTGTGACATGGTTGAAATTTTAGGCAATCAATTTTAGTATTATCATTTGTGATCTAGATTGGAGGAGACCATGTTGGTGATGATGGTCTTAACAATACTCTTTCAAGACTGAAAACGCCACCACGGAAACAGCAAAACAGGGATAAATCTTATTTTAACAACTTCTATTTGAATTCTGTTTTTAACATTTGAAGTCATTTCTTTCGATATATTATGTAATGACTAATATTGGAAATTTAGTGATGGGAAATGTCAGGATGCCTCTGATTGTAACAGTTATCAGGCAAGATAAAAGTTACTAGATAAATTTTCCGAATTCCACAATTTATCAGGAAGGAGATTCGAATCCTTTTGATTCCCTAACCCTCCCTCCCATAAGCCACCTCTGCTGACAGCAACAATGCAATTTTTTAATTCATACTATGTTATCAATTGATTTATAAAATGAATCTTTTTTAATTTTAAATGTTGAAACTTATCCTTTATTTAGATCAAATTTCCCTAGATCTGTTCCATAAAAACAAAAAATTTATACCTCTAGATTTGTTACCTGCCAACAAATGAATGTAAGAATCAACTGACCCTGTCTTTAACCCAGCGTAGCAGCTGTTCTAGATCAGCTGATTGCATGAAGAACGAAGTCTGCTACTCTCCTTCTAAGGTTAAATAGCTCTTCTTAGATATCATGTTGCGGCTAGCGAAATTGCGCATTTTGTATGTTGCCACTTGGGAAATTACACTTAGAAATTGGCTCTTTGGGAAAGTACCTAACATCAATAGTCTTGTCATTTAAGCCTCGCTGATCATTGCTTTGAGTTCTCTCCCTATAAATGGCTAGCTAAATTATACTTCATGTCAGGTTTAGAACATAAGCATTGATCAGCATTTGCATCCCCTGTAATTAAATCTACATATTATTGCAGACCTGTGTTTGTGATGTAAATAGTATTGAAATATCTGGTGAATGTGTTCATCTTTCAACATTGCTCTGTGATTCTAGAAACACAAAAAAGGTGATACTAAATATTTATAACCAGATGGTGCCAATGTAAAAGGGAATAGAAATAAAGGGAAAGGAAATGGCATTGGTCTGGCATGAGAAAGCTAGTCCTACTGCTTTACAGTCAGGTTCCTTATTGTACATTTTACTGGAAACTCTAATTCATTTGATCAAAGTTAACTTCCGATTATTTTAGAGATTATAATTGAACTATATTCCGGCCTTAATCGTTTCCTTTTTGGAGTAAACATCGTGAGTGAAAACAATGAAAACATATTGCCCAGCTATTTCTGGCCTTTATGTGCTTTCAAAATGACTGAAGATAATTAGACAATTTAGATTTTATTTCATAAATCTAAACCTGATACTGTCAATACTACATTTTGGTATTGATCATGGAACAAACCTCATAGAGTCAAAAAAGTAGATGTTAGTTCCACATTTTACTAAAAATATATTACTGTAATGAAGATTCAAAACAAACGGTCAAATACATCTATGTTTTATTTTAGTCTGAATTTGGACTCCAAAAATTATCTTTACACAATGTTTTAGCACACCGATTCCGCTGGTTGGACGATTACTCCTTACTGCACAGCTACAGCTAAACATCCAGATTTAGATCTTATTGATCTGGGCACTTACTCTTCTGGTAATTCATTTAAAGAAGTTGGATATACTTACTCTTCTGGTATTAATTTAAAGAAGCTGAATATACTTACTCTTCTGGTAATTTATTTAAAGAAGCTGGATATACTTACTCTTCTGGTAATTTATTTGAAGAAGCTGGATAAACTTACTCTTCTGGTAATTCATTTTAAAAAGCTGGAAATACTTACTCTTCTGCTAATTTATTTAAAGAAGCTGGATAAACTTACTCTTCTGGTAATTTATTTTAAAAAGCTGTAAATTTATTTTAGTAAGCTGGATAAGCTTACTCTTCTGGTACTATATTTAAAGAAGCTTGATGATCTCCCTTCAAATATGGATAAAAAAACATAAATTTTTAGATTAGAATTAAATATTAAAATCTTTTTTAAAAAAATGTTCAGGGAGTGGAATGCCTAATGATCCCATGGTGTATTTAAACGGATCCAGTATATCATGCTAGTAAGTTTACTCTCTAGATCCAGTATATCATGCTAGTAAGTTTACTCTCTAGATTTACAAATAAAAATGCAAAATTCAATTAATAAATGCAATCAAATGAATAATTGTCGGGAAATTAATTAGTTGAAATATTTTCTCAAAGGGACTGTAAGCGTAATTACAAATGACCCTAAGTTAATGCAAGATGGCAACGCCTATGCATAACGGTACCCTTGAAAGTTTTGTCTAGTCAAGTATGGATTAGATATCAATATTTATAATTTTGATAACTGATTATTTACATTTGTGATTCTTTCTACAAAAATATTGGAATAATCAGAATTAAACATTTTTAAACCTAGAAAAAAACGGCAATATCTTCTAAAGGTACAAGGGTACAGTTGTGAATACCAGGCATTGGTATTTTTGCATGGAGGGTAATATTAAATTAGGCTTAAGGTCCCTTAAAGAAATAAAAATAATATTTAAGCTGACCTAGCTATCTAAATCATCAATAACCATTAATCAAGAAAGAATAAGAACCTAATAAAAGTGTATTCACCTATTTTAATGTGACGTATTTGGAGAGCTTAGGAACTAATTTTACGGAATACATTGTAACAAAGATTGTAGGCAAGGCTTAAAATATCTTTGTTGATTGACGCTAGACAGGTGGGACGGACCTGGACAATCACTGTTAATTACTGTTGTTTGATCAAGTGAGAACCAGAAAACTCTTGTAATAGAAAGACGACTTTTAGACTCAGGATATGACTAAATAGTTCATTGAACATGAGAAGCATAGAGTAATAAAACGAAGAGGTGAAGTTTAGCTCAGATGTACATAACCGACCTGTCTATTAACCTGTCGGTTGTGTATATCACGATATGTTTACGTATCTAACGCTGTACACTTGTATATAGAGCGATCGTATTTCTAAGGAGTGGTTTAATGTAGATATTTGAATATTTGTATTGAAAATTAGATAGACACTTAATATGGATTGTAAACATAGGATTGTATACTGCAGTACATTCAAGTTCAGTTGTTTGTTTATTTCAATACAAGCATGTCTAAATATTGTATCGTGAAAAAGTGCCAAAACAATTCTTCTTCAAAATACCGAAAAATTGTGCATGGCTAGACCTTTTAAGGTTGGGAGACTCCAGACTATATCCCAGAAGTTGCATTGCTCAAACCATTTTAAGGAAGGAGATATATATCAGGGGAAAAGGCCAAGTTTGAAGAAAAATGCAACACCATTGCTTTTTGCTAATAAATTGAAAACCTACAAATTTGAAAATTGTCAAATTTTTGCAGTCAACATCCTCGAATTCTCTTTAAATAAAGAAAGAAAATCTAAAAATTGGTCAATTCCATAAAATCCCCCTTTAGAAATACGATCGCTCTATATACAAGTGTACATCTGAGCTAAGTTTCACCTCTTCGTTTTATTACTCTATGCTGAGAACCAGCAATCGTGTAATGGAAAACAGATAGTAAAACTATTTGCTTATAGAAAAACATAAAATAGACCTTCCTAGACCTTTCGTCTTCCTATTCCACAGTTTTCTGGTAATCACTGTTACATCTTTCTATATAATAAAGCTCTTCACTTATAATATATATTTGTATGTACATATGTTAGCATATAGCTGGCCAAACGGCCGGACCAAATTGACTGATTTTTTTAGAAAACTCATGGGTTCCCTGAGGGTAAAATAGGCAAAAAAAATCAATTTTCTTCAAAGATTGCTTTAAATTACTAGGAACTAGTTCCTCTGCTGTCCTAATACATCATTGTAATAAGTAAACGATCCCAAGTTTTTGTTTAAAAAAATCTTGTCACAATCTTTTTGAACCTAATAGCATAAAAAATGATACTTTTTAATTCTGGTTATGTGCAGTACTTACCGGCGTACCATGGTTGAGTACCTCTGCTACTGTGAGGAGAACAGTTGTACAGAGGAGCCGAGCTGGGACACTGTTCAGCTGTTCTGGGGAGAATTTGATCCCTGTGTGTACTCTCTGTACATATCTACACCTCTCGTATGTACAGATAGAATTGCTTAAAATAGATAAAAATAGAGATGTCATTCTTTTTGAAAATAAAACTTGCCTTTGTAATTCAATTCTATACGATCCAATCCATTCCATTCTATACATGTTATCCATTCTGTCCACCCCATCCGTCCAAACAGCCATAATTTTAACCTTACCATCCTAAACATTCCATTCAATCTCTTAATCCCATCCATACCATTCATTCCACCAATTCCATCCATACATCCCATATTTTGTATAGAATGGCTCGAAAATACAACTTTCCTGTCAAAATTTGTAAAAAAAAATACTTAAAACAGTTTCCCTCTTATTACATTTACCTATTAAACTCCTGTTTGTTGGCTTTTCTTATTTTAACTCCATTGTCCATTTATTTTCTTATTTTAGCTCCATTGTCCATTTATTTTATTATATTCTTGTTTTTATTTTATGTATTATGTTTTAATACATTTGTACCAGGCCTAAATTTTCAAATCGGTGCAGACTTTAGTCCTCGATTGCAATTACAAAAAAAATTAATAAATTTAAAATGTCAAAATACATTATTATTACTATTATTATTATTATCCATCCCAGCCTATACACTCTGTCCGTTCAATATCTACATCCCATCCTTTGCATCCCATTCATCCAATCCCTATAATACATTCTATTCATTCTGTCCATCCATCCATTCCGTCCATGCCATCCATTTATCCACCCAATCCCATGTATGCATTCAATACATTTTGTCCATCTTATCCTATACATTCCTTTCGTTCTGTACATCTAATTTTGAACAATTCATTCATTCCCCAAAAATCTCATACATATTTTTCATCCCATCCTGTAATATTTCTTCCAACCCACAAAAATCCCATACATTCCATCCCATTATATACGTTCCACTAAATTCCCATACATATTAGTCATCCAATCATATATATTTCATCCAATTCTCATCCAAACTATAAGCGTTATTTGTCTACGTACAGCTAAGAGATAAGGTTCAGAAGTTTCTCCAAACTCTGCAACTTTCTCATATAAGTTTCCTCTGGCTGGGACAAACTCCCATTAAGGCAGAGTTCAGAAAATTGTCTAACCTTGTTCAATAATTTTCTAGTTTTAAAAATCAACATTTTTCACCCTTTGTTCTCGGCAAAATGAATAAATATGAGTTTTCCGACCATTTTGAGGAAAACAAAGATTAAGATAAATCCTGGAGAAGTGAAAACACAACATTTCTTCCTCATAGAATATATCAAGAGTGTACAGCAGTAAATATATTTAGCGGATTTTTTCTACACATTTTTTCTTTTCTTTAAATTTGTTATCTAAATAAAGATCTCTGATGCGGGTGGGATTTTTTTTTTTAATAATGTTATGATTATTTTGCCCTGTTTGCGGGGGGTTCTGCGAGACGCCGGTACACTCAAGCTTTTTTATCCCGGTGAAGGAAACTCAGAGAGAACGCTTTATTTGTGTAAATAAATATGTAAATAAAATCTATATTTTGTATAAAGAATTGATATTTAGACCTATTGAATTGTTTAGCATAAACAGTATACACATTAAAAAGTAAACAGCCTAACAAAGATGCATAAAATACAAGGGCGCGTAAGATTTGTAACTATGGTATAGTATAGTTTGTATCATACATTATTATAAAATAATATTACTTTTTATAAAATAATAAAGAAGCATTATTGAGCATATGAATTTTATGAAACGATTAAATACAATTTTGAAAAGGCGCAATATATTAATTAATTATTATATTGGCTTAAAGGTTGACTTTCGGAAAAATATCGTTAGATATTGGTATAATTTCTTCAATTCTTCATGATGGAATATATAAATTTGATTTTCAATTGATGTACAGGGTTATCCACAAAGAATGAGACTGCAGAGACGACAAAACAGAATTTAGTTCATATAGTCTATTTCTTATAAGTGATGGTTTTTCTACATTTTACATTTTATTTAAGACATCTAAATGGTTTCCTACAACTGTAAATTGGTTTATTTCTCTGGCAAATCAATCAGAAGGTTTTATGTATAAAGGATAAATCTACGTTAAACCCTCATATTGTAATATTTTAAGGGCTTCAGGTCGTCTTTAAAGTCTTATTATTTGTGGGTAACCCTGTATCTATAAACAATATGTTAACAAAACCATAATTATAAATCTTTAAATGCAGAAGTAATTGCAAATGGGATTCAGTTGAACTACGAGACGTACAAGTTGAATCGCTTCTCTTCAACGTGAACCAGCGTGCGTAGTTTAACTACTTTTCTCAATTTAAAAAATTTGATCCCAGACATGTCAAATCGATCGCATCCCATTTAGAAAAGAGAGAAATTCCCCATAACCTATTGATTTATACAAATAGTTCTACATTAGGTGTTTCAACTTTTTTCAACTTTTTCAACTTTCTCTTCCCTCTCCTTATCTTCTTACTAATTAATCTAGTGAAACCGTTTCTCTTAATTTTGTTCTTCTTTTTAAACTCTAATTTTCTAAACTGTTTAATATAAATAAAGAAAAAACTAACATACACATACAAGACTTTGTACTTTATTGTATTAGGATAAAATTTTATATATACATATTTTCAAGGAGTATTCTAGATTACAAGGGAGAGATTTCCTCTTCTTGATTTCAGATTTTAGAAATTTAATCTTCCACAGCAATGTAACTCCAGGGGCAGCTTAGTACAGGGGTATCAGTGGGGCGGGGAGTGATCAATTTGTTAAATGCGTTTTCAAGAATTTAGCCATTCCAAAGGCTCTGATCTTCTCCTTGCCAAAGATGGGCTCCATCTTCTTGTCTGGGGTGAAGAACTGCTTGTTCTCGGGGTCCTGCAGCTTCTTCTCCTTTATGTAGGCCCACAGCTTCTTCACAACCTCAGGCCTGCTCAGTTTCTCCCCTTTCTTGGCCCCTAGGAGGTCAGCAAGGTCATCGCTAAGGCTGAGAGGTTTGGTGAGTCCGCTTCCCTTGGGCATAATGAATACTGTATATAGTAGCGGTGTATATAGTAGAGTGGTATATAGCAGTGCCTAGTACCCTTCTATATACTAGCGGGGGTTTCTCTCCCAGGATAGAACTGTGTCTCGCAGAGATTCCTGCACTATATAGAGAACCGGCCCTCTCTTGCTTCAGCCAACAGTAAGACATAAATTCGCGATATTTTATTAGAAAATCTAGGAATTTATTATATATTTTGTATAGAAAAGTGTTCCCAATAGAACGGGGGAAAGGTTCTATTTAATGAAAAATTATTGGTTTCATCGTCACAATAATAGATATTCTAGGTTTTAGTTTATTAAATAACAGATAGATGGGAAGAAAGGAAGAGAACCCTTGAAGATTTAAAATATCTGGCGCCAACTTTAAACTTGAAAATTCGCAGTTTTGTGGTTAAAAAGTTTATTTATTTTTAGCATTTTAATTACTGTTATTAATTTTATTATTTTATTATTTTATTACCAGCCATATATCCAGCCATATATCCAGCCATATATCCAGCCATATATCCAGCCATATATCCAGCCATATATCCAGCCATATATCCAGTCATATTTTCAGCCATATATCCAACCATATATCCAGCCATATATCCAGCCATACATCCAGCCATATATCCAGCCATATATCCAGCCATATATCCAGCCAGTAACTAAGATTATTATATCCATTTTTTTGTGGCAACTCACATGACCCCAAAAAAGTTTTGAATGGTCGAGTTAAAGGAAAATACATCAATTATTCCAGTTAAACTTAGAAAATCCACGAAATTATGGGTTTTATTATTTTAAACTGTTCGGAATAGTACTAGACTAATCAGCAATGAAAGCTACAGGGTGTCCCCATAAACAGGGGAATTAAGAGACAAATTCGAAGTTGTCTTTTTCAAAGCGTTGTGTTACCTGATGTCAATGGTCAAAATAAAGTTACGTCTGCTAGAGTATATTTTATGTAAACGGTAAAAGACTATTTTGTTATTGTGCAAAACGTTGTATGATGTTTGTAACATTTCTGCAAGATAAAAAGTGAAGAGGAACACAAATTTCTTTTATTTTTAAGAACCCCACAAAAACAAAAACAAAAAAATTCTGAACTCTAGCAGACAAATTATAGCTTTCATAGTAGGTATCACTATATGCTAAATAAAAAAATCATTTACAAAGACGACATTACACCCTGTAAGATATTACCAAAATAGAGGACAAGAAGCGCTTTGTAAACCTAGTAAAGAGAAGTTTTTTACTACATTGGAACATATGGTCATTTTTTATGGTCAGTGACTAAATTTGCATATATAAAGGAATGGAGTTTTTGCCACAAACTCAAGTTATCTAAACCTGTATCTAAGTAACTTAATAGTTTAACCTTTGATATTTCAAACTTATATTATTTTATTTAACATAATTCATAGTTTGAAATATCAAACGTATACGACATTGGGTTCAAAAGATATAAGGATTAGAAAATCAGAGATTGTGACAAAGACTCAATTCCTTTGACGCATTAATAACCTTGAAACTGACGCATTAATAACCTTAAAACTGACGCATTAATAACCTTGAAACTTTGTATTTTCGATTTTATCCTAAATATTATATTCAGGGGCGTACGAGAGCTTTAGTACTTAGTAGTTAGGGGGTACTTTATTTTTTTGTGTGGACCCCGTTGAAAATTTATTGCCCCCCAAAAAAATCCTTTTTTGGCAAAATTACTGATTAGTTTTTTATTTATATCAAAGAACCGTGTATCGTATATCTTTCATACTTAGTCTTTGCTTGGTCTAGATCTTTGATATTTCAAACTATGAATTCTATGAACTATGAAAAAGCCTAAGTTTAAAATAAGGTTAACACCATCAGGTTTCAAAGAAATAGGGATCAGAAAATTTGCGTTTGTGGCAAAAACTACCTTTCTTGAAAAATCTTTCCCCCTTTCAAAAAATTATTTTCCCTCATCAGTAATAAGATATGTTTAAGCGGTGAGAAGCAGAACAATTTATTTGCTGAATATATGAATTGTAATAAAAGGATAAAAACATACCTTTTGATATCAAGTTTTTTTTTCTTACCAATGCAGTCCAACAAAATTAATATTTTTCTACAGAATTACTAACAATATTTTTTTTGCAAAGTTTTTTTTTGTTTGCGCAGACCGCCATAAAAATTTCAGGGTTTTACATGCTGAATTTTTGTTTAAAAGATATTAGAAAAGGTAGGTTGTGTTGCCTTTTAACATCTTATTTTTAACTTTTTCCCCATATCATATAAAATCATTTTATAATTGAGACCCCCCTAAGGAGGGGGGGGCACGTGCCCCTCCCCTATTACGCTCCTGTGGTTACCTATTGTATCTTTTTATCATTATTTTAGTCTTAAATAAACAAGAAACTACCCCCACTAATTCCTAAAGTTTTTTTCTTTTCAAAACGAAAAACAGGTTTCTATTTTAAAACGAAAACCGGTTTTGCGTTAAAACAAAAAAACGATATTTTTTGCTTTCTGTTTTCAACTGAAAAACGGATTTTTTCTATTCCGTTTAATAACTGTCACTTTTTATATTTGAAATATTTCTAAGACAAACATTCATTAAATGTTTGTAAAGGAATTGTTGTCAACCATTAACTATAAGACCCCCCGCCCATCCATGTAATGTCGTCTTTAAACCTGCAAAACCTAGAGCTTCCTAAACCTACAAAACCTAGAGTTTCCTAAACCTACAAAACCTAGAGTTTCCTAAACCAAACCAAACAATTTTAGCCCCGCTTCTCTTTGTTCTCCGACAACGGAGTCTAAACACGTTTATTAATTGTGAACCCATTTCAAAAGTTAAGCAAAGAATATTTCATATAAAGAATTAGTGACTTTCGTTAACATTTAATTGTCATTCTTTTCAGAAGTTTTAATGTATAAAAAAACGTCTTAGGACTCCCCGACAGTTTTAACCCACAGATACTTAAATAGATCATAAGAATCTTTTCATTATAAAATTCGTAAACCATTGTAATAATTATTTATCATTATACATTTCATTTTTTTTAGGAAATAAAGAGTTTTCTGCATTATCGATTTTGATTTGAAGGTTATTCCGTTGTCTATCTGTTCATCGTCAGAATCTTGTTCCTATCCGACAACAATTGTGTTTTTGCCACACACAAAAATAAGCGCTTTTGATTGCTACTAATCTTACTTCTATCTGTTGCGTCTATAAGGAGAAAATTGTTAAAGACGACTCACACTGAAGAACGTAGCGTTCATACAAATTCGGAAAGGTGCAACTCGGATCGTAAAATGATCAATTTAATTCAAAATTAATCATTCAGATATTACAAACATTAATTATAGATTATTTTTCGACGCATTCGTAAGAAGTTCATATTTCATAAAATTTTTGATTTTGTTTTTTAAGTAATATATTGCTAGCGCTTGGTTTTCAAACATTCCTAGAAAATATGAAAATGTCGTTTATCAAAAATCCTCGAAACAAGAATAAAAGTTTTCAAAAGTAACTCTCAGATCATAAAAAATAAAGAAATATTATGAAATATCAACTATAGGAATGTGTCGAAAAATTATCAATGATTAATGGTTGTAATATCTGAATGATTTGTTTGGAATTAATTTGATTATTTTACGATCAGAGTTAAATGTTGCAACTTTCCAAATTTGTATGGATGCTATGGTCTTCGATATGAGTTGTTTTTATCAATTTTCTCCTTATAGACGCAACAGATATAGAAGTAAGATTAGTAGCGATCAAAAGCGCTTATTTTTCGCCGCAAGCCTATACCCTCTTTCATTTTTCGCGAACACTCTTAAGTGGCAGCAACTAATATGTCAAATTTCCTCCTTGGCATATTACTAAACATATGTCCTAACAACGAAAGCAACATGGTAACTTTGTCGCGCGCAGAGGTCATTGAGAAATATATTTTTGAGAAAATATACTTTTTTACACAAAATGGCATTTCTTTACACGTCGAATCCAGACTCTACAAGTTTACAAAGACCTTCAGAAATGGCAGTCATGCCCAAGGAAGATATGTGCACTCGCCGCTTTTAATTAAAAGAAATAGAGAGATAAGTATATATTAGGTTAGCTTAGGTTCAGACACTTTCTGGACTCTCTGAACCAAGCCCTGCATGTTGACCAGCTACTAGGGGTCCGAGAGCAGTTGCTAGAACAGGCTCTCTCTCTGTCTTGTAATTCAACGCGGTAAGTGCACATAACTTCCTTGGGGTTTTCTGCCTTCAGAGACGACAGTTATTTCACAGGCATGTGCTATGCTAAATGAACTATGGTTGTGTGCACTACTTATTTTGTTAACTTAAACTTCACATTTTTTTCTAGTATAGTATTTAAAACTAAACATTGATCACAAATGAACATCTTAGCTAACTGTGAAGAAAGAGAATTCTAAAAATGATACTTCTTCAAATCGGAATGTTTTTTTAATTAATCTCAAAACACCTTGCTGAGTTTTTTAAAGAACTGAATTTCCCTTCTGTAATATAAAATAATATTTGTTGACAACTTGATTTATACTAAAATTAAAAAAAATTTAAACTTAAATACAAAACAGTTAAATTTTTAAAAGATTTTTTTAAACAAGAGTCCTTATTTTGGATTGTGTTTTGGTTTCTTCATTTTGAACCAAGAAATCCACAAGAAATATTTCAAATGTGGTTAAGTTATTTTTGAATTTCTAGTGAGTGATAAAATTGTCATTGTTTATGCATAGTTTTATTCATAACTTTTTTAATATACTTTTTCTTCTTATTATTTTTCTTCCTCTTCCTCTTCTTCTTTTTCTTCATCATTTTCTTCTTGATCTTCTTCTTCATCATATTCTTCTTCTTCTTCTTCTTCTTCTTCTTCTTCTTCTTCTTCTTCTTCATCTTCCTCTTCTTCCTGATCCTCATCTGAATCTTCCTCATTGAAAGTAGCACGAAGAAGATCTTTGAACTCCAATATTTTCTCTGCTTGTTCTATTCCTGACAACATCGCACCATGCATGTACGACCAATATTTC